GACAAATGGCATTGGTTAGGATTCCTACAGTTACAATGGTGGCTATCCTACATCATGGTCTTATTGTCAAATTGGTTAAGTGTTTTATTGTTGTGCAACTTTATTATTTTCTCAAGAATATTAGTACAATTATAGCTAAGATTTAATATATTCCTACTGAGAGTTTTTCTAATTGAATTGCTTTTCAAAAAGTGTTTGTAAGTTAAATTTAGAAACTTATGTCCTAGGTGTGTACAGATTATCTTTCTGTTTCTATTACGTATCTTAGTAATACTATTGTATTCCAAAAACTGAATTTACAACTGATATTCCCACTATCCCTAAAACCTTATTATAGACAGTCTTTTTTTTTTTTTTTTCGAAGGCTTTTTTGTTAGAAGAGTTTTGGCTAATCCGACATTCTACAGAGGAAGGGATATGTCGGATTACAGATGGTGGGTGATTAGAATTTGGATGGATATTATAGATAGGGTTGCCATTGTTCTTCATATACGACTGAAAATTTTCAAGGAGTGAATTTAATGTTACATCTAGAAAATCAACTTGTTTGATATTAGAACATATTTTCAAATTAAGATCTAAACTATATTTTCCCTATGAATCAATTTATTTTTACCTGTAAACTTTTTTACAATCATGAGACCATCGTCCTTGTAGAGCCCTATACTACCTAAGTAAGATCTTTGTAAGCTCTAAGATTATATAGAATAAACAATCCAACAAAATCAGAAGATATCGCAGAATCCAACGATCCCATGGAAATGTCAAAGCTATTGTCACAGTTTTTCACTCACTGTTCTTTTTGTGGGCGAGGACAGATTACCTACATTCCTAATGATGTTTAGATCTTCACTAGAAATATTTGAATAAACTTTGGCAAATACTACAGCCATTGTAAACAAGTCCTTGGATATTGAAAGGTAGACATCCATTATATGAAACTGGATGAAGTTGCAGTTGTTTTTGTTTTAAACCCGTTAATCACTTCAGTGTTTCCCATGCATTGAGTAAGTCCAAGGTCATTTTTTAATTTGTTTATTTACACGTTCAAGGATTATTTTATTCCAATCTCCGGTCTGGTCGGATTTATAATTCTTGTAGATAGTTTGTTCTGAAACTTCAGTTTACGATCCTTGCGTAATAAATTGGATTGCTTTAACTGTTTCTAATTAATTCCATATACTTCCTAGGATGGAATTTATTAAAGTTCGGGGTTTTATCCGATTTTACAAAAAATTCATCAGATTTATTAATATCTTTAACTAATGTATCTAAGTGTTTCTGGAGTTGATTTTTGAGCTGATGGAAAATAATGTTGTTAATATTTAAGAGATCCATCTAAACGCCAAGTAAAGCGTTAATGAGAGGTGCAGTTTTTAAATTCTTAAATCCATATATATTCGTTGTTCGTTGTATTCGAAACGACCCGATCATTAAGAAAGAAGTAGGCTTTCCATCTCATCCTTCGTATTAGACCTTCGGTCTTTAGGACCAATTTCTCAAAATATTCCTGTTTGTTTGCGATGGGAATGTTTGTTTTAGTACTGTTTCGCTTTTAGGGTGAATATATATATATATATATATATATATATATATATATATATATATATAGGATCTTCAGGGTGGATATATGAATAAAAAGAAAGAACAGTGCGATATATAATCCGGTGGTCTTATAGATATTTTTAAATGCATGTCATCAGGATTTTTTTTTAAATTTTTATTGTTAACGGCAAAAATTCTTACGGCATTTATTTCTATTTGTATATTTAAAAAATTGGGGGGGATGTTTAGGTTAGAATATTTTCACTTTTAATTTTTAATATACTATATTTCTTTTAAGAACAAGTAAATGTATTAGAATCCCTTACATTATGTAGAATTATTTTCACATCAAGTATAAGTATGTATATTATTAGGTAACAATTTTTTTAAAATTATATTTAAATATTATTTAAGTAACATTTATGACAATGACGGCAAAAATAGCCAATTAATTTCACTGATTTAGTAAACTTTTATATATATCCATACACAAATGTAACGAAAACGAAAGGGATATAAATTAAAACTTTCATAGCATTAACTTAAAAATGGGCTCAATACCAAGCGTAGAGCAATAGTTAGTTATTATAAGGATGTTACATATAAACAAGAAAAAAAGGTGATGTTTCATAAGTAGCATTTTTAAATAGAATCGTTTATAACCATCTTTGTTCCTCCCTGTCGAGATGCGTTCGCGTCGAAACAAAAATGCATCTTTGTTGTGAGTACTTTCTCCGTATTTAACACCCTTATTTTATATATATATATATATATATATATATATATTTATTTTATTTTTTTTTTAATAAAAACAGACCACTTTAAGGTTCCATGTAATAAGTTATTTCACCACAACCCCTTTAACATGGCTCTGGATCATCATACTTTACTTCCAAAGATTTCAACCAAAGATTATCGGCTCTGAATTTTACATTGAGCTCTCTGGATATCATCCTCCTTGGGTCTACCCATGCGGATTACCTAGTTTTGCATAAACTAAATATATATATATATATATATATATATATATATATATGCTACAGCTATATAGGCATCACGCATTAAACAGACAACCATAAAAATAAATTAACACTCAACCAGAAAACCCCTTGAAATTGAGTTAATTAAAAAAAATCAAATTTTCATTGTCATATTCAACGTAACATGTTTGAAAGAAAGGTTGCTGCCCAAATATACATCATCTGATTATGAATGAGTTGCATAATAAAATCTGACACCATTAAATGTTTCTAATAAAAAAGCGACATAAACTGAAAATCCCATAATAGATAGAAGTGGAGTTGAAGATCTTTAAAGTATGTATCTGGATAATACAATTTGATGTTGAAAATATTGACTTACATAATAAAATTTAAAGGTCTATGTTGTTGCATTCCATTTGAAAAAACTCACGGAGTCACCTACGCAAGCATTAAAATATTTTTTTCTGTAACGTTCAAAAGATTTTTTTTTATATTTGTATAAAGTTGTTTAAAATCAGAAAATAGTTGAGACAGCCAATTCTGTTTTCAAGACAAGAGGAATAAAAATTAGACAATGAATCGATTTTCTCCTTATACACTTTTATGTCGTTCTAAAGATTTAACAGATCCATATTAGCAATATTTTGGAATTTATGCATAAGTTTTGATCCCACTCTTGGCCAGACGCACGCACACACGCACATCCATACACACACACACACACATCTATAAGTTCGTAATAATTTTCTCATTATTTTTATAAACCAAGAAACAATTGTCATATATTCTAGTGTAAAATTCGATTTCATGGGTAGTACTGCCCCTAATTTTATTGCATAAATTTTAACACCTTCAGAAAAGTTTACCATTGTATAGTGCGACCCGACACCAAAATAATACATGATTTTTAACCCCTTCAAAAAATTATCTGAGTATAGTGGTAACCCCTAATTTTTGCATAAAACCCGATCATAAAAACTCGTTTTTTAGTCGAGTATATACAGTTTCTTAAAATAAAAGTTTAATGTCATTTCACTTCCGAATTATATTTTTTTTCTTAAGCCTTTGACCCCAAGCAAGGCGAGAAGTCACTAGTACGGAAGGGGTTACAGGGAGTTGGACAGAGAGCAAAGAGGAGTGATAGAGGAAAAGATGAAGGGAAGGATAGGGGATAGATCAAGGAATCTAGTTGGAGATTATAGCTATCAGGGAAACAGGAAAAGGGGATGGAGTTCCACAGGCGAGAAGTGCGAGACATGAATCTATTGGAGTAGAAGAGACGGCTACATTTAACAGTTTCGACAGTGAAAGGGTGAGAGCGAGATTCCAGCCTAGTAGAACGCTTAAATTCATGAAGTCTGGGAACCAGCGAAAGCAGCTCCGCGGAGCAGTTACCGTGAAAGTATTTGTAAAAGAAGACAGAGGGAGGCGCTGTGTTAATTTCTTATGGATAGATAGATTATTGAGACTCAAATGAAGTGAACTTGTGATGTATTATTGAGACTCATCTGAAGTGGACTTGTGATGTATTATTGAGACTCAAATGAAGTGGACTTGTGATGTATTATTGAGACTGAAATGAACTGAAAACGTGAGTAATGAAAAGGACCGAATCAGTGTTGAAATTTGCAGAACGTATAACAGGGAGCTTGGAGAATTTGACACTCACCGGACATATTGAAGGAAATAACAAGAGAGGAAAGTAGCGAGTGACCTACATACCAAGCTCGCGTAGGTGGCAGAACAAGGACTGGGGGAGAGAGAGAACTACAAAGAGTATAATGTTGTGGAGAGTCATGATCAGGCGCGTCCTGAAGACACTGCGCATAAAAATGATTCATTTCCTCAAAATCAAACTTTCCCTTCTCTCACCTCTATTCAAGTCAATATTTACTGAAATGTTCGCCAGTTATTTCGTCTGTCGTGGTAATTTCAATTTGTAATATTTTTTATTTTTTTATTTTACCGTTAAAGTTATTTTTCAGGGTTATTTTTTTCCGATTGGCACCAAAAATGCAATTAGTTTTAGTGCGCCATTTTCTTCCTCTTGGGATTCCTTAACAGCATTTTATACATACATACACACACAAATATATATATATATATGTGTGTGTCAATGTCTGTGACTATGTATGCGTATGTATGCTATTACTCCGTGACAAGATGAGATTAAATGTTATTTAATAGATTGTGATTCTCGTGAAGTTTGTGACACGCGACAATTTTACTGCGTTTCCGACGATGCTTAGTATATTTAATATTTTATTTGAGAAGTTTTACATTAACTTAATTTTGCAAAATAGTTTTCTTTTTGCTTTAACTTGTTTTTCTGTCTTTATTTCTTTTTAATTTGTAATTTTAATTTTCTTTTTTGTGACTTTATTTGCTCTTTTTTTTCCTTCTTTTTCTTCTCGTCTTGACATTGTGTTTATTTTTCTTAGATTTATTTTAATATTTTAATTTTAAATTCAGCTGGTTTTCTTCTTTTTTTTTTTTTGTTTTCTTTTATTGTTTTTATTTTTTCCCTTTTTCTTTTTTTCATTTTCCTATTTAATTCGCTTCTCCTTTTTTTCTTTTTACTCATTCATTTGTTCATTTTTTCCTTTATTTTTATATTCTTTTTTCTTTCTCCACCCTCTTTCTTTCTCCACCCTCTTCCTTTCTCTGCCCTCTTTCTTTCTCCACCTCCTTTCTTTCTCCACTGTCTTTCTTTCTCCACCCTCTTTCTTTCTCCACCTCCTTTCTTTCTCCGCCCTCTTCCTTTCTCTGCCCCTTGCTTTCTCCGCCCTCTTTCTTTCTCCGCCCTCTTTCTTTCTCCACCCTCTTTCTTTCTCCGCCCCTTGCTTTCTCCGCACCCTTTCTTTCTCAACACTCTTTCATTCTCCGCCCTCTTTCTTTCTTTACTGATTTCTTGGTTCATTTTTCTTTCTCTCTCTCTTTTTTTTCCTCACATGCAGACACAGAGGGTGCGATGGTTAAATTGTCACCATTTATGTTTCTAATTTTGCGCATGGGCGTTGTTTGTTTTTGATTTTGTCGACTAAACAGAATATTAGGGTCAGTTGGGCAACATCTGTGAGAAAAAGAGCACCATGACACAATTCATTCCACCACTCTTTTGGAAACTACATGTTGTATTACTTGGCATTCGCACCGCAAGCTCCAATACGAACATTTCAGAGTGTTTGGCTGTTAATCTGAGGACAGTGTAGAGGATTCGGAAAGAGTTGGGTGAGTCTAATGGTTATTACGAAGGTACGGCAGCTCGAAAAAAAAACCATTCCGATCATTCTGATAAGTAAAAAAAAAACTCCCAAATTTGTTGGTAAGGGCCTCAGACACAACACGGAAGCCTAAATCAAGTGCCTTGACAAGGTAGTGCTGTCTTGGGTCAAGTGGGCGGCTTCTGGGAGACCCTATATCTGGCAACAGGACTCTACACCATGCCCCACAAGCAGGAGAACCTAGTTATGGCTGTCAGGGCAATTTTGCGACCACATTACCCCTTACATCGGGCGACCTAACTCCCCAGAAAGCAATCCCCTTGATTATTATGTGTGGAAGCAGTTGTGAGAGAGACCAGCAAAATTCGTTATAACACCAAAGATGAACTGAAGGCAAGCATTTTGGAAGCATTCACGAACTTAAACAAGGAGACAGTCAAGAAGAGTTGCAGGAGACTCGAACGTCGTCTGGAGGTCGTGGTTGAAGCCAATAGCGATTTTATTCAATAAATTTACTCTTTAGTATTTCAATATATTTTTGTGTAATTTTTGTAACTACATCTGTTAAAATGATGTGTCAGTGTTACATTCCTTTTGAGTAATTTAGATAATTCATCCATCGCACCCTGTGTGGGCTTTATATATATATATATATATATATATATATATATATATATATATTCTTTTTTCCCATCTTATTTTTACTTAGAAAAATTATACACCAATAACTGATAGCGTTCTCTATCCACCAACATCATCTTTTTGCCCAATGTTAGTTGACGTAATAACTTTTGAGTGTCGTAATATTTACTTTCAAATCATCATAAAAGTTAAACAATCTTTCGATAGATTTTTGTTTATGACTAAAAGTGCCGACATACATATAAATAAACTAAAAAGCAGAGACACTAACTTTTTCCCAATGACTTTTATGGCCTCTTCAATATTCCGATAATTGTCATTTGCATTTTATGGCATCCTGTCACTGAATCGCAACATTTAAAAACAGATGAATGTTTCTCCTTGAACTTAACATTTTAGCTTGAAGTACGACTGAACTGAAAGCAAACACAAATGATTTTCTGTAATTCAACTTACAATAACATTCTTCCAAAATCTCCTCATTCAGCTCAAACTTGAATTGAACACCGTAATTCTCCATGTATAATACACATTTTTTTCTAAAAAAAATAATAAGCAAATTCAGGGTTGCGTATTATGAACAGTTACAAAAAAATCTTTAACAAATGGCCTTAAAATAAAACAAGAATTATCATAAGATTAAATCTTAATAATATTATTCTATGTTTAAAACCATAGGAAGCGCTGGTCGTAATAAATTGGAGAGGCCCAATTTATAGGGTTTGATTACCAAACAACGGTTCCGTATTATGCGTGAAGAGAACCATTTTCCCCACACTTTCAGCATAATTTTAGGTGTCCGTATTATGGCTGAAAGCGTATTATACATAGGAAATTACTGTAAGTAGACAAAGATATAAAGTAATGTATAACAAGGTTACGTTTTCTCATGAGATATTTTCAAGCGTTAAGGCCAGGCGATCATGAAATAAATAGAAGTCCGACCATGTATTATTATTGTCGGTCACAAATATAATATCAGATAAGCGGATAGTGCGTTGTTGATAGGAAACCCCGAAAGTAGACTCCGAGTGAAGGCAGTAAATGAAAAATGAGAATAATAGACTAATCACCAATTGTACAAAAGACAGAATGTATGTTTGTCGACAAGTGAATCGTCTGAAATTACGGGCTACGAAGTGGACATGTACGAAGATTTAAATATCTTTGAATATTTTAACAGAAGACGGAAAAATGTGACGCGGTGGTGTATTGGACTAAAAAAGAAGCTTTTCATAAGATAAGCAAAATATTAATAAACAGAAACTCATTTGAAACAAAAAGAAAAAGAAGTGTGCTAGCCTGCTATGTAATATCAGTCCTATATGGCGATAAATGTTAGACAATCTCCTCAAAGATGAAGAAGAGACTTGAGGCTACATTCTACAGAAGGATGCTGACTATACCATGGACCGAACATATTTTAAGAAAACGGGAAACAAAAAGATGGCTCAGGATTAAAATCTGAAATTTCTGCGATACATAATAGGGAAAGTGATTGGATACGTAGTGTAATGGTTAACAAGCTTGTCTCGCTCGACCAATTACGACTGAATAGCGAGTTTCATCCTCAATGGGCGCTCTATAATTTCAACCTTGTGGCACATCTAAGCTACGCGTAGAAAATCACTATAATGAGGAATGTGGTTTTGGAACACTTAACCCTCACAGTGCATAATGGGATCAAAAGAGGTGAAGGAAGTCAGCGGGACACCTACTTAATGATCCTGTGTAAATAGATGGTGAATCGGGCAGCAAGAGAGAAACGCTGCTAACGGCGACAAAGGAGAGAATGATATAGAGAGCGCAATGATAACCAGCGTAATGAAGAGACACAGTACGTAAAAGAACTAAAAACCCTGCAATGGATGCATATGCATTTCAAAAGTAATATTCAATTACGTCATGATGACCCTGAAGACGAGAGGGAAACAGTGAGTAACCTAATTAGCTAGCTTGTATAAATAGATGTAAGAAAATGAAAAGACAATGTTTCCTAGGAGATACTGAATATGGCAGTTGTGGAGAGCCATTATCACTGTACTTCGTTTTAGTTGATTATAGCTTCAGCAGTTTTGCTGATAACACTAAGGATTCTGATGGGGTGATAGTATGATGAGGACAAAGGCGTAACTGCACTTTTGTATATTATAAGGCAGGCACATTCCATGGGCTTAGGTATCATTGCTTGCTGGCTTCAAACAGCGGTTAAATAGCTTTAAAAAGCTTTGAGCTTATGTTCAAGATTATAAAGAAAAACTGAGGATTTTATCCGGTTGAGTAGACTTTTAAGATTTAGAAACTTTCCTAGTGTTGAAGCTTGAATAAGCATGGAATAATAATACAACACAAAATGTACGTAACAAAATGTATTGAAACAATGAAAAAAGGTACACAATATTTACAGGTAGTTTTGGTATATTCTTGGGAAGACTGTTCCTGCAGAATGGGTTGACTAAGTCGCAGTCGGGCAGAGTCTCTGGATTCGATCTCTTAATCTTCCGTCGTCTTCCGGTACCAACCCATATTTATATGGTCGGTACTCCACTTATGTAAATTAGGTGTATCATACACAACACCTAGCCAAGATTCAGACATCACAAAACTTTGTTTCTTCGTTGGGTGGGTAAAGTCAGGTAAGAATTTATTTTGTCGTCTTATATAGAGTTAAAGTCAAAGTTCATTGAAAAAATACCATCTTTTATTTAACAAGGATGAGATAATCTCAGACCCATTAACTTGTGTAGAACTAGATTTCTGTTGCTTTAAGTCTCTTCTTCATCTGTGACGAGATTATCCACCATCAACTTATATTATTACGTAAGAGTTCAGTATTTTTTTTCTAATGAAATTTTCTTGTTTCTTATCCTTCTGCTAAGCTTTTAACGGGTATCTTTCGCATTTTTTTGTGCATTTGGATTTCAACGTCGCTCTTTCCGTCCGCTGTTAAAACGCTTTCCAGATATTTAGGTTGTTGTAATTGTTCAAGCTTGGTGTCTCCAATTTGTAATGTGCATGTTAGGCTGTCCATTTTTGCTAACAAACATGCATTCTGTCTTCTTGCAATCCATTCTTCTCGCTTTTCTTCACTACCTTCTGTAGCAGTTTTTGTATTTTCTTTTCTGTGTCTGCCATCAACACTATGCCGTCAGGATATCTTATGTTCTTAAGATTGTGGCCGCCAATAATGGATCCCAGCAGGACTTCTAATTCTGTCAGAATCGCCCTATTGTATGAGTTAAATAACTCCGATGAGAGGGGAACATATTTCTGCTACACACCTTTCTATTTTGTAGATTTACTGAATTCATTTCAAGCGATTTGTTGTCAGTATAGATTCTGGCATATTCTAATATCTTTTTTAAATATGTCAAGGTTCCAACAGTACGTTGCACCAAGATAGTTTTTTTTTCTATTTAAGGCTATTTTTTTTTTTAAATTTGTTGCATTTATATTAACCTTCCGATAGAAATATCATCTTTCCGTTGTCGTGTGTATGTTGCATCCGGTAATTTTCGGGTGACTTTCAACGGAATCTTTGATTTCAACTCGGGTTGTTGGTTTTTACTCATAAGATTTTCCTGTTTTCCGTCTCTGGGATTTTTCACTTATGTTTCATGCATATTTTCCCTTTCTTTCTCTCCCACTACATTTGCAAATCCTTGCACACCACGTTGCCTTAGGGACGAAGCGAACATTAAAGTACGAACCGACCAAGGTTACGAACGATTTATATGACGAGAGGAAAATAACACCCGGAAACTGATAAAAAAAACACAATAATGGTTAATATTTGAAAAGAACTCATGAATTCATTTATGTCTATTAGTCTTTACACACAAAAAACATAGGTATATATATTTATATGAACGAGTGATTAGGGCGTTCGCTTTTTGACCATGGTCGATTTGTGAGGAAGGAGACTTCCTGATCCTATCGGTCTGGAGTGAGGCCGATCCGAGCGAGTGGCATCTTTGGACATTGCATGAAAACCATACCACGGGTTGACCTAATCTTGGTGAATGAAATTGGGTAGACGGA